CAAACTTCTGTCGTGAATGTTTCGAAGATATAAATTTCTTAGTCTCCTATTATTACCTGTAACAATTGACCCTCTTCCACTCCTACAGTACCATCTCTTGCACCTCTTGTTAGGTAAGACACATATGCAACAGTTAGACAACTTTATTCCGAAACGTTTCGCCTACACAGTAGGCTTCTTCAGTCGAATACAGAAAGTAGGCAGGAACAGTAGAATACTTTCTGTATTCGACTGAAGAAGCCTACTGTGTAGGCGAAACGTTTCGGAATAAAGTTGTCTAACTGTTGCATATGTGTCTTACCTAACAACCTGTCGGTATTGTATACCATTTTGATGTTCATCTTGCACCTCTTATGTGACCTTTCCTGCCCCTTCAGATGAGGAGACAATAGAAGCCCTTTCAGCTTACAGGATACCCACTGTTCTGCATATGTTGATTCCTTTGTAAACTCTGATCATGACTCAGGGTATCTTAAATTCGGTCTAGCGATTGAAAAATCTTTCCCACCTCCCCAAGCCTATTGTAAGACAGTCTGCTGCATCTACTGTTTAGGATTCCTTCCGTCCCTCTATTCTTGCTTACTAACAGCTTAATAATCCGATTATGTACTTCAGACTCTAAGTCTTTATCAAACTCTTACCCGCTATCACCGAAGCCTGAGTGGGACTTACACATGAATTAATAGGGTCATCAAAGCTTATTAGTTGGGTTGAATTGAAAATGAGTTGGGCAAATATTCTTGTTAGTGGGTTTAAGTTTCAAAAAGACCCGCCTAGTATCTGCCAATATCATGCTGCAGTGTTCCTCCTTTTTTATGTCCTTGTGTAAAAAAAATATAATAATTTTGTTTGTCTGAACGATGTCTATTTTACATTGAGATGCTGAGATATTTAAGGTGGCGAGGAAACTCTGGTAAAGCCCCGCCTGCTGTCTTCCCAGTTTTCTCCTGTATTAATTTCTCTCCGAGAAACTAAACTTCGCCAGGTTGGTAGCTTCCATATCTCTGGTTATATTATTTTACAGCACAGGGCCGTAGAAGTGGCTTATATACTGAAGTCAGGTGAGGTGAAGTAGGAAGAGGTGGGGTCATAGTGGTACCATCCACTAGTCGAAGTAGGTCTTCCAAAGGTTGGACAAGTGGTGAAGAATTCTTTGTATCAAGATCCCATAATGCTGCAGTGTCTGACAGTCTCTCTCTCATTACTCTCATGTCTCTTAAAATGAAAGTCCGCTTAATAGTGCACTCCGATATTCCCTATAGCAAATTGTTTATCCAGATTCCATTCCATTGTACCGAAGCCCGTTTTTATTTAGAAAATTTGTATACGATCTGTTCTGTATATTTCTCATTCCAGTCTCTTCTGACGCTCTTTAATCAGTGCTTCTTTTAAGAGACTTTAATTCTTTTCATTTCATTTACTTGGATCCCACTGTGACTCTCTTGGTAATCTGTTTGAATGTTCTTTTACCCTCTTTACCTTCATATGTTCTAAACGCTGAGACTTCGATCCGGTTAGACCATCGAACTCATACTCCTTCATGTAGTGCTCAACGTCTGTGACGCTAGACTTTGGACAAGAGTAAATCATCTTCGAGATAGCTACCACGTTCCTGTCATTCTTGCTTCCCATTCTTACGCTCGTCTTTATCGGCTTTCTAAGTGACAGCTAGAACGTGCAAATTGGACTTTATATGTTGAACTTCTGTTAATTCTTTCATTACTGATGCCTCCTCTATTGATGAGTTATTGTATTTATTTTTTCAGCTACTGGGATAGCTATCCACACTGTGCTAGGGCCATCCAGGTCCAATGTGCCTCCTAGGGAAGGTATCGATTATTCGTACTACTGCCCGCTACATAGATTTCTAACGAGCAAGTTAATGACTGAGTTGTGAAACGAGCAGCTGACCCTGCTTGCTGGCGTGCTTGCTGTGTCTCCGCTTTAAATGCTGTAACTCCTAAGAGTGCAGTATGGAAAAAAGTGTGAAAAGTTAGAGGGAAGAACTCTTCTGAACCAGTTCCAGTCAATGACATCACTAGGTCGGAATTAGCGGATTCAGATAAATTTGCAAGCTTAGTACGATCTCCTTTGCACACCGATCTCCTGACCTGCACTGTTAATTCCTCCAGGAATCTACTTTTTTTTAGACTTTGTGCATAGATGAAACAAATACTCAGTGGAGAGGTGAAGTTGCCGTGATCAGGCTGTCAGTCTTGAAGTTTTCAGCTCTAAATTTACTATCTTTGATCAATACTATAGAACTGAACATTTCTCAAGGCTGAGGGACTGACCACCTCAGAACTACTGCAAGGTTGATGGACTGATCACATTATCTTTACCACCCCACTGCTTCTGCTATTTACAATATTTATCGAACCATATAGTGTTCCATTTACCGTTCATGAACTTGCATAATCATTGTCAAATTGTCAGCCTACGGCAGCCGGGCCCGATTATATTCATGTTGTCACGTATTTACGTAGTGGGTTTAGCGCTTGGTTTTGATTATAATAATGTATTTACGCTCTTTATCCCTCTTCAATCTCGTCTTGTCCACAAGAGTGATAAGATAAGATAAGATTTCGTTCGGATTTTTAACCTCGGAGGGTTAGCCACCCAGGATAACCCAAGAAAGTCAGTGCGTCATCGAGGACTGTCTAACTTATTTCCATTGGGGTCCTTAATCTTGTCCCCCAGGATGCGACCCACACCAGTCGACTAACACCCAGGTACCTATTTGCTGCTAGGTGAACAGGATAACAGGTGTAAGGAAACGTGTCGAATGTTTCCACCCGCCGGGAATCGAACCCGGGCCCTCCGTGCGTGAAGCGGGAGCTTTAGCCACCAGGCCACCGGGCCACCCATACAGTGGAAGCCTGCTATAAACCTTCCTCTTTAAAAACCAGGTATTTCGGGCCGATCCTTCCTATTATAGACCAAACCTTTTATTAGCTCCATTTGCAAATTAACTGAAAGCATGATTAACGGGAGATTAGTTGTATAACCTCACGTCAGTTTGGACACAGAAGAGAGCGTTCTTCTGTTGGTTCTCTAATTCCACTTGACACAATCGCAGTACCTTTGCCAACAGTTGGTGTGTTGAGACGGCGTTTTTCCCCTTACCTTACGATATGACTTGGCGGAATTAAAATTTTATCTTGGGTTCATTCTCGTGATAAATGAGACCATCTCTCATTTTTTCTCAGTGTCTTCACGGTAGATAGATAACTTATTGTCCACATCAATAATTATAATTTACCTTCAGCTTTCATCAGTCAGGTGCTCCACAAGGGCGCGTTCTTAGCACAACCCTATTTCTATTAGTTACTGTCCAACTTCAATACTAAGTCGGGGAATTTGAGCCTTTTCGTATATGGATTATCAGGAGATTGACAGGAGACCGGGCCGCGGGGGCGTTGACCCCCGAAACTCTCTCCAGGTAAACTCCAAGTAAACTGGCACACAGGATCAGTAAATTTACGCCTCTTTACAGAACACAGTCGGATGTGCTTCTCAATGGACTACATCACAGATTTCCAGGTCTCTTCCAGGTCTCTTCCAGGTCTCGACGCCCTGTTCACGTTTCGTATTGTTAATGTGTTTGTTTCCCGTATCCCGGTCAGTCAAACTGTAAACTTCTTGGCCTTCACTCTGACTAGTTTGTTGTGGAAATTATACATTATTGTCTTAAAAACAAGTTTTAGGAGACTGTACTTACTTAAAATATGGTCCTATTTTTACCTACGAGCGACATGCGACTACTTCGTCTTTACAAGGCTATGGATCTATCTAAACTTGAGGATGAGGTATATTCACCCGCTTTGACAGCTGTCCTCACCAAGCTTGATAGTGTTCATCAGCGACTGTCTTGGTGCCTTTCACTCGTCCCCGGTCAAAAACCCTATACGTACAGTCTAGTGAACTTTTCACTTACTATATTATCTGATTCAGTTCTCTGACTTTCTAGACACTGCGACTTTGAGAATTACAGTAAAGTCGACACTTTCCATTGTTGTCCTCCCTTCGTATGTACTTTAATTATCGCTTTCCAAGTCTAGTTTTCTCGGTTTGCCCTCTTCTCTGTTTACCCTGTTAATTTCTTTTCTGCTCCACCTTCGGAAGTACCAAGGATTTAAGTGTGCTCCTCCTCCCTCTCCTTTCCAAAGTCTCTTATCACTGCTATGGACATATGCTTCCTTTTTCTTGATCATTTTCAGTTACACTCACATTCAACTGCTGAGTACATTGATGTTTGGAATATGCAGATATTTGTTTTCCGGACAGTGTAATACAGGGACACTTACTGGATCTCACTAGTACTTTCACAGCAAAATTATACATAATTCTTCAGTCATCTCCCAATTTTTCC